AATTTGAATTATAATCTACAATTTGATATACACTTACATATACATTCATAAAATAGTAGTTCAATAAAATTTTGAATGTAAGTCTACAAACGTGATAACATGACTTTTGTCCCCTGACCGTAGGAAGACACGTCTTGATGGGGTTAAGTATATATAAGGAATTCCCCACTCTCCTTGCAAGTTAGCATGGCCCAGCAGTAAAAACTGTCATGTTTTCTTATGCAAGTTAAGGGTTCAAATCTCACCTCCATCTAATTACATATTTATAGATTTCTTGATAAAAGTGTTTTAAAACCTTATTGACTAGATTACATAAAATACCTTTTAAAGACAACACATTTCTATCAAACCTTGACTTTTCCATTTCATTAGAAAAAATAAATTTGTCTTTCACAGAATCCTTATTTTCTGTACATAAATCCAAATGTATAAAAATGGCATGTTTATGATCATAAGTTCCAATATTTGAGACAATAGGTCTGAGAGGACAATCTATACACAATATTTAAAAGATAGTTTATTTGATGTAAGTTTTCTACAAACTTTCACAGAGACCTACAGAAAAAAGTCATTTGACATATGTCAGATATGAACCTTAAGCTTTCAAAACAAAACACAACAGTTTTACAACCAGGCCACAATGGTTTATTTTTGTAAGGAGGGTGGGGATTTTCCTACATATAATTAATGGTGAAAGTTCCTGATTTTAGGGCCCAGTTTCTCCACAGAAATACCATGTGAGGAATAAAAATGCACTGTTGAAATTTTACTTTGGGCATTTCTGAGTGTGACTGTTGCTGAGGTATCCATGTAGTTAACAAAGTCATTAATTATAATTAATTCTCTCACTACAGGCTCAGTCCAGGGACCGACCTCGTACACATTTTGTGTTTATTATATACACCTGGAAAAAAGTTAAGCACCCCCGTGTTTTTTTCAAGTGATTCAGATTCGACGTTCTTGTGACTGATTATAAATTACCATTCAATCTAAACGTGTTTATTAAATGAAATTATGCATTATTGGGCACAAGAAAACAAGATTAACAC